AGATGTGGGAGGAAGTGGAAAACAGAATGACAAGGTAAGAAACAAAATTATCTTAAGAGCACACACATCTATGGTCTTAAGACTGACATCGAAGCAAAGATAATATCTGTATCTATAGCAAGTGCTTCCTGTTTATGTTCCTTTAAAGCTTGCTTACCTCTCAGTATTTGAAGGTGAAATAAAGTTGGTATTACAGCTATCTGATTTTTCCTTTGAACTCTGAGAAACCTAGTGAGTATATCCTTCAAAATTTGTATTTGTTTGGAATTGTATAAGGGACATGTTCACTGTGTGCACCTATATTTTGGGTTAATCATTCAAAAGGTTTGGGAGTTAATCATTCAAAAGATTTTAACAGCTATGTAAGTATGTAGCTTCAAATTATAAATTTTTTTGCTTTTCTTTGCATATATTCTTTTCTGCTCTGAAACATAAGCTGGAAAAATAGGAATTTTCAAAATTCCTATGTTGAAAATTATGCCTCTCCAAATTAATTTAGCCAGGGGATACAAGGATACAAAGGAATACACACACACACACACACACAAGGACTTCCAAATTTCTGAAAAAGTTCAGTTGTCTTTTCATTCTATTTCCCCACAAAGTTTCTGAAGCTTCCTTGTAGTTTATAACACTGCATACTAATTTGAATATAAACCATGAATTATAATGTTGCTGTTTCACTTGGAATAATTTGCATTATTCTGACCAAGATGGAAAACTATATGATTTAAGTATCTCAAGCAAAATCGTGGTTAATTTTTTTGAGTTTCACAAACTCTAAAAATGATTGTTTTCAAATCATTTTATTGGGGGATCAAACAACTCTTATCACAATCCATACATACATCCATTGTGTCAAGCACATTGTACATTTGTTGCCATCATCATTCTGAAAACATTTTCTTTTTACTTGAGCCCTTGGTATAAGCTACTCATTTTTTCCCCTCCTCCCACCTTCCCTCACTCAAGACCCCTTGATAACTTAATTATTATTTTTTTTATGTCTTATACTGTCCGATGTCTCCCTACACCCATTTTTCTGTAACAGGTTTCCTGGACCATTTGAGCCAGCAACAATAATACATTACCATTCCTTGTAGTTCTCTTGACTTAAATGAACAAAATGTTTACCTCTACAAATGAAAAACAGAAAGAATCGATGTTGAACTGTGATAGGTTCTAACAGAAATAATATTTATCCATGGATATCATCATTAGCTAAAATCAAGTTGATTTCCACTCATGCAACCTCATCTAGAGTTTAAATTGCTCCACAGGGTTTTTAAGGCATTAACCTTTTGGAAGTAGATTGCTAGGCTTGTCTTCTGAGGTTTCGTGTTGGATACTTAGTCTAAATGATGAAAAGCCCAATTTCACTAGGAAATGAATTTCAAGATTTCCCTGAGAGGTAAAGAGAGTCCCCAATTGAGAACTATTGCTTTAGTTGGAATAGCAATACAACTTAAAATCTCAATCATAACAAAACAGCTAGCTCATTTTTAGAAAACTGATGATGGTGACTATCAAAATTGTTTTTAGGTGCCATCCAGTAGGTTCTGACACTTAGTGTCCCTGTGATAACCAGATGACACAACTTTGCTTGAGGAAAGTGAGGAAGAATTGAAATATGTGCTGATGATCAAGGATTGTAGCCTTCAGTATGGACTGCACTCAGCATTAAGAAGATAAAAATCAAGAAAAAAAAAAAAGATGAAAATCCTCACAAGTGGACCATAATAAATGGAGAAAAGGTTTAAGTTGTCAATGGTGTGACTTTGAGGACTAAGGTGGGCCTGATTAAAACCATGGTTTTTTAAATTTCCTTGTAAGCATGAAAAAGTTGGATAATATCTAAGAGTAAAGAATTGATGCCTTTAAGTTATCCTCTTAGCAAAGATTATTGAAAGTACCACAGACTGCAAAAGAATAAACAAATCTCTTAAAAAAAGTACAGCCAGAATGCTCTTTAGAAGTCAGTATAGTAAGAGTTTGTCTCACATCCTTTATAAAGAGATCCCAATCCTTGAGAAGGATATCAAGCTTGGTGGAGGGTCAACAAAAAAGAAGACCCTCAATAACATGGACTGACAGTGGCAGCAGCAACGGTCTCAAATATTTTTACTATTTTGAGGATGGCACCAAAGTATGCAACATTTCATTCTATTTGTACAAGGGGTTGCTAGGAGTTGGAACTGACTGGATGAAACCTAACCACAGCAACATACAGTAGGGAGAAAAGATGTTAAAATAATTAATTTGCAGTTCTTTTAACTTTACAACAGTAGTTATCTATTGATCAATGCATCCAAACTTTTTGCTTCTCTCCTAACTCCTCTCTGCCTATGGAGTTTTATTTAAGATAACTGAAGGCAAGTTAAACTACTGCCAAAGGTGGCATAAAGTGTAAATGTAGAAATTATTTGAGTAGTCTCTTCGTATAAGGCCCTGAAGGCAATTACAGGGGTAGTGAATTATTTAATGTCGCTCTTCTAACCAAACATCCACCAAATGACCTTTCCCTGCATGGATCTGGGAAAAAGGTGGGGAAAGATACTCATAAGATTTACTGTAACTGTGAAAAGGATTACCTGGAGTGTCATCCTAAATTGTATAAAATGAGCCCTCTGAGAAGCAGAAGGGATCTCATTACCAGTAAGAACCAGAGATCCCTGCACAGTGAACCTCCTTGATACAGAAGACTGTTATCATAGGAGCAGCAGCAGAACCAGAAGCCAGAGCATGGAACAGTGACTGACTTGCCCGGCTCTGTGAGTGGTGTGCCTCTAGGACTCCATCCAAGGAGTTGAGTTTGCTGATCCATGAAGTCTGAGTTGAAAGAATTCAATCGAGGCTTACAGCACCGTGGCATACCCCTAAGAACATCTATTATCAGACCTGGAATAATTTTGTATCATATCCTGATAAACAACTGAACCCTGAGCATTTCTCAATGGCACTACAAGTTGTTAACTTCCTTAATAAACTCTTAAATCATGAATTATATCTGTGAGTTCTATGTACCCATTCAATGGATATTAGTATCCAGAGAGGTAAAATAGAGAACAATAATTCAGAAATTACAGCAGTATCTTCCAAGTTGTCTACTTTCTATGCAGTGTTACTTAAAAGTAACCTTTATGTTGTCTATATTTGAAGTGTTAAGGATATTTTTTCAAAGTGTGAATTCTTACATTTTAAAGACAAAAACATGACCCCCAACAGTAGTCTTCCAGACAGTACCTCTGCTTTTACAAACAGCTGGTGAGAGAACAGTATTGAAAAGTGAATTTGATCATCCAGTATAGGTGTTTCCCATTAAATCCCTGGAAAAAGTTGATATATGCATGGCAAGCAATTGCTGTAGACTAAAATCATTGCTCAACCGCTCCAAATTATCGCACTTACCAGTTATTTAAGCATCAAGATCCACCTGTCCCTCTGACAATCACAACCACTTAATTTAACAACTGGAGGGCTTAAATAAAAACGTCTAAAGCACATATAAATCACAAATTCGCAGCTACTGCTGAAGAGTCTGGGTCTCTCAAACCAAAGCGGCTTAAGCTCAGCGATTCCGAGCGATCCTCGCAGTCTCCGCGCAGGCCCGGGGTTCCCATGGCTACCGCCACTGACCGAGCAGTGGTCCTGGGGACCGGCGGAGCTCGGCCCCGGGTTCCGCGAGAACCTACGGCGGGGCGCCGGCAAAGGCACTTCGCCAAGCAGCAAGGGAGGTTTCTGAGTCTGGCGGAAGGACCTGGATGGGAACGCAGGCGAACCCGCGAAACGCTCCCCGCTAGCTTCTCGGCAATGATTTGGATTCGGGCTCTTCCTTTAACTGGGAGTCTGGGGTACTTGCTTCTCTGCGCCTTCTTTTCACTCAGGAAAATGTAAGGTGCCTCCACAGAGAGAGCAACCCAAGCCACCAACAAGCTGCCGATTCAATTCTGACTTTAGACGCCAAAAACGACACCTCCAACGAGTCAGCTACAACTTCGGATTTCCACACAGCCCTCACCAAAGGCCTCGCCGCCGAGCCCAAGGCGCGCGGGCGCGCGGGCGGCCCGGCCTCGGCCCGCCCCCAGGTGCCGCTCCGGCCGAATTAGGCGCCGGGAGACGGGCCCAGCGTGCTCTCGCCCCGCCCTTCTGTGTCAGCTGGGAGGGACTGCAGTACGCTTCCGCAATTCACGTCTTTCCTTCCCTTCAAGGACCGTTTCCGCCATAGCACCAACCGACTCAGCAGCGCTCAGAGATGAACTACGTCTAAAAGCCATCCCACCGCGGGAACTCACAGGACTACCCCTCCCACAAAGGCTCGAGCTCCGCCCCCACCGGACCGCCCCCGCCAGCCCGCGCTTACGCTTTCCGGGCGGCGCGCGACGCGCTCGCCCCGCCCTGCCCCGCCCCGCCAGCTCCGCCCCCTGGCTCCCTCTCTTTCTCTCTGGAGAGCTAGCGTGTACGCGCTGGGGCGTGCGACGTCGGAGACGCGCGGATGCCTCCTCCAGTCCACCTTCCTGCACTGTTGCTACTTTTCGGTGCGAGGCATTTCAGCTCCTCTTCCCCGCCGTGAGTCCCATTCTCTCCGGAGATCCCGCCCGCCCGGCGGCTGCCGCCGCAGTTCCAGCGCCCTGAGAAAGCAGTGCGCGCGCGGCGCGCGGGCGCGCGGCCGTCGGGTTCCCTCGCTCCCCTCTCCCTCCCTCCTGCCCCTCCATAACTTGGCTGGCTGGAAGGAGGCGCCGCGGGAGTCGGAGGCCCGGGAGCTCGGAGGAGGGAGCTAGAGAGTTGCGCAGACTAGTCACTGGGAGAAGTCGCAGCCTGCTCTGTGGGGCTCTTCCCGCTCCCTGCCTCTCGCTCTCACACCCACTCCGCCTCCCGCCCCAGCCAGCGCCCCTCGCGCTTTCTCCTGCTAGGGGAGCCCTGCACTTCGCCCTCCGTCCTCGGCGCGGCGGGGGCGCCCCGGGGGTGCCCTCGCCCTCGGCGCGGGCAGGCGGGCGGGCGGGATGTGGCGCTGGGTGCCCCCGAAGCTGGGCCGCCTGTCCCGCTCGCTGAAGCTGGCGGCGCTGGGCAGCCTGTTGGTGCTCATGGTGCTGCACTCGCCGTCGCTGCTCGCCTCTTGGCAGCGCAACGAGCTGGCCGACCGGCGCTTTCTGCAGCTCAATAAGTGCCCGGCGTGTTTCGGCACGAGCTGGTGCCGCCGCTTCCTCAACGGGCAGGTGGTGTTCGAGGCGTGGGGCCGCCTGCGCCTGCTGGACTTCCTCAACGTGAAGAACGTCTACTTCGCCCAGTACGGCGAACCCCGCGAGGGCGGCCGTCGCCGAGTGGTGCTTAAGCGCCTGGGCTCGCAGCGCGAGCTGGCGCAGCTCGACCAGAGCATCTGCAAGCGGGCCACCGGCCGGCCCCGCTGCGACCTGCTCCAGGCCATGCCCCGCACGGAGTTCTCGCGCCTCAACGGCGACGTGCGGCTGCTCACGCCCGAGGCGGTGGAGGGCTGGTCGGACCTGGTGCACTGCCCCTCGCAGCGCCTGCTCGACCGCCTGGTGCGCCGCTACGCCGAGACCAAAGACTCGGGCAGCTTCCTGCTCCGCAACCTCAAGGACTCGGAGCGCATGCAGCTCCTGCTGACGCTCGCCTTCAACCCCGAGCCGCTGGTGCTACAGGTAGGCGTGGGCCTTGGGGGGTGGGGGGGGCGGCCTGTGGCGGGGCCCGCGCGTGGGAACGGGAGGCGGCCGAAGTGGCCGCGCACGCCCGCCGCCCGCGCTCCCAGGTGTGGACCTGACCCCGCGGGCGCAGTGTAGGCAAGGGGAGGGGTGGTGCTGCCGACAGCCCCGGGGCCGGGCCAGGGCCGGCCTGCGGGTGCACTGCCCGGTCACCTGGATGCGATCGGGTACACCTGGGGTTTGACTGCGGGTCCTCAGCGACCACGGGCGTGCGTCTCGAATGCTCCCCAAATGACCTTCCTACCAGTTTCCCGCCGCCCCGCTACCCAGCCGACCCTCGCGGCGGTGGCTGCACTTATGCAGCGGCGGCCTGCGCGCTCCACGGCCCCTTAGTTCTTCCCAAGTGTTCCTTTGCCGCCTGCTTGTTCCTTCGCTACCCCTGGTGGCTGGCCTAACTTAGGCCCCAAAGTCTTTGTTCTTTCCCTGTTTTCTTTACCTGCCAACTCCTTTGGAAAGTGGCTTTGGAAGAGGTCAGAGAAGGGGGGCAGCTGTACAAGCAGGCCTTGCCCCAGGTGGAATTAAGAGGCAGAGGAAGAGGAGAAAAAGTAAGGCAGCCATGGTTTGGGGTCTGGAAGGGCTAAGGCCAAGACGGACATTTTCATCCTGTTCCTGTGACCTGCCCTGTTCATCTGATTTTAAAACATTCACCCTAAGGGAGGAAATAAAACATTAGAAGCAGGAGATTCTCGCCGTGTGGAGTTTTTTGCTCTTTCATGATTTTAATTTGAGAATAAGTTGTATGCTTTGAAAGGGTATAGTTGGGATCTTTCTACCGATGACAACACAACACACAATCACGACAAAAATTATCTACCTGTGGAGAAGTTTTTCCACAATCCTACCCAATTACTGTGTCCCTGACTAGTGGTTACCAGTGTGGGGTTTTGATTTCTTCGGAAAACCATAGGAAAAGTTGTTATTCTTTTTCTGTGCCAATCGTGCTGTATTGCAAATAAAAGGAAAAATACATGACTTAAAATTAATCATTTTGGTATACTTCATGCCCGTTCTGAGCAAAGAATGTTAGTGATGGCTGGAGGGTTTGTACAGTCCGCCCCCCCCCCTTTTTAAAATCTAAAGTGCATGAGCAGGAATGTTCCCTATTTGTTTATATTGCGTTCTCATCTTCTCCACTGCCCAACTTAGGTAAGCAAAACCAGCTCTGATTAATTTAGCTAAATAATTTCAACATAAAATATTTCATCTCATAAATAAACATTTACTGCTGGCTGTAGGAATGATGAGTTAATTTTAAAATGTAATTCATTTTTACACCTAACAGTGAGTGCTGTATAAATAGTTAAACTTCCCTGGAAGAAACCTACTTTGAATAGTTCCAAAACCAGCAAGCCTTTAAAAGGTTAAGTCCTTTATCATAGATAGACTCTTGAGGCATCTCCCTGCCCCCATGCTGCTTTCTTTATTTCAGAAGTAGAAATCTTCCACTTCTGTTTATATTAGCAAAGTTTGCCCCTGGAGACACATTTAGTGGTGTAATTTACTGAAAAAAATAAAGTCTGTCAGATTATCTGGTAAATGAAAATTTGGCTAGAAGTGATCCTAATATTTTGGTTAAAAAATTGAATAAGCATTTTGTGCTATTAAAATACTGGCTTCTCATTACGAAAGGCTTTTCGCAGGTAAATCTAATTATTGCTGTTGTATAGACAGCCAGAATTAGAACTAATATTTTAAGAACAGATACGGTATTTTATAAACATCATCTTGGCATCTAATAATTAGAAACTTTAGTATATGATTTACACTAAAGAAAATTGCCTTTGTTTGTGAAGTCTGCATTTTTTTCAGGTTAGTCTTGAAATATTCACTTCACTTTAGGGTTGAGATAGTGAGATGTACTTGCATCTTATTTTCCTGTAACTCTGCTCTCAAAGTTGACTTCCTTCATTTGTATACTTCTTTAATAATAAACAATAACTTTCTAAAAGCACAGATATTTACTTGAAATTAAAACTTAGTAACCCAGTTGTTCTGAGTCGTTTATTGGATAAATTTGTTTGTAGTACATAAAGATAGATGTCTCAACATTGTAGTGTGTTACATTTGTACACTACAACAATATTTATACTTTGTAGCTAATTACATATTGTATAAAATACAGAGTTGGGGTCATTGCACTAGTATTTTGTTTACTTTTAAAATCAAGTAGATTAAGAATGCATATTTTTAAATGACTGTTCTCCAGGGAAGCTGCTGCTTTATTTATAAAATCACTTGATTTTTGGTAAAACTAATGAGATTAAGAAGTGTAAACAATATTTGGGTTTAATTATGGTTTAATCAACTGAAATGAAAAGAAACTTAAATTTAAGGAAACTTTAAATGAAAAAAACTTCTTTGGTAGGTACAGAGAGTGTTATATAATAAGTATAATAAGTACTTTTGTTTCCTAGACAAATTTATACAATTTTAGTATTTATATAGAATTTTCTGTAGCTGTTATAAAAAAGTATTACCATATTGATTGATAATGGTAGAAATACTTTTACTCAAATTTGGAGATAGCTGTGTGCACTGATGTTATACATGCACAGAATATACACACACACACTTTGGTTCCATGTATTTTTAGAAGCATTTTAAAAGGTTCATGTGCATGCTTTGTAGCTTAAGATTAATTCACTGCCCTCCCCCCCACCCCAGGAGAGGAAGCTACTGTCAAATTTTTGGACTGTGCTTTTTCATGCATTGTAAAGAAACTACCTCCTTGGGGGGGAAAAGTCTTTTAATCTGACTTCAATAAGCTAATTGAAATTTCCAGTTTTGTAAATATGCTTCCAGTATAAGTACTAAAATAATTTTTTTCATAATGTACTGAAAGAAGAACATGGGGAAAAGGTGCATATTTAGCTCATTAAACTTGCCTCTTGATTTTAAGAAACACTAAAGTTTCTACTAGATGATACGGCTTCACAAAATTTGTGGAACAATTCTATTAGCTTTTAAATTCCATTTTTTTCACAAACTTTCTGGAACCACCTTATAAGCTCTAAAAGAAGACATGGAAGGTATTAAGGATCTGCATGGTTGATTATAAACACATCTCTCTCTCACACACACACACCTTGGACAATATAGATTTGTAACCAGTTTCTCAATATGAAATGGTATGGGAGTAGAGCTCTCCTCAGCACGAAATAGCCTTACTAGGTGACAGCAGCTTACCCGGCTTTAAGAAAATTTGTTCTGCCATAAGATTATATCTTTAAAATGTTTAAATATTAAGCATCAAGATAATGCCAGCAGTCCCTTCACTTTTTACTTAAGTACCATCTTCCTTCCTCACTTTTCCATTTCACCAAAAGGGGTATTTTAATGCCCACATCCAGAAGCCCGGGTGTTGCAGTGGTTAAAGTACTCACTTGCTAAACAAAAGGTCTTTGGTTTGAACCCAATAACTGCTCGGTGAGAGAAAGTTGTGGCTGCCAGCTTCAGGAAAGATTTACAGCTATGGAGACTTAGGGGCCAGTTCTGCTTTGTCCACTTGAGTTACTGTGAGTAGGAATCAGCTGGGCGCACTGGGTTTAGTTCTCTATTGTACTGGATTCCTGTGAGACAGTGTTAGCCAAGAGCAGCTTTGATTTTGTATGGGGTAGTACCATTCTTAGACTACTCAACAATTGAGTTGACAAAGAAAGATAATTTCTGGTACTTCATTTAAAAGGTTGTTAAGTAATTTAAACTTTTTCCTTTAATTTCTACTTTACAATTTATTTATTTTGAGCATGTATGTGAGTCCAAGAAATGCACCCTGGACTTCCTGAGACTTGACTGTATTTCTGATTTTAAAGCTGAAGATTGTGAAGATATTTTTGTAAATATAATACGTGCAAAACATTTTGTTCCCTTGATGGTTCAAAAATAAATGTTTGTGCTCTTCTACTAAACTTCAGGAGCCCTTGTTGCAGTAGTGAGTTACACTTTGGACTGCTACGGTCAGGTCAGCAGTTTGAACCACTAGTTGATCTGAGGGGAAAGATATGTTCTGCTCCTATGAGGAGTTAGTAGTTTTGGAAACCCACAGAAGTAGTTATTCTCTGCCCTAAGAGTCACTTTGAGGTGGAATGTACTCAATGGCAGTGAGTTTGAGTTTTGAGTAATCTTCAGATTGGTGGTTGGACCCCATCCACTGGCACCAAAGATTAAAGGCCTAGTGATTGGTCATCTTCCATTAAAATCATAGCCAAGAAAACCCTGTGGATTAGTAGTTCTACTGTAATACATGGAGACAGAGCAATTTGTATAGTGCTTCCTGCATTGTGAGTTCTCAGTAAACAATAATCATTAAATAAGGCAAAAATAACTTTAATCATCATCTAGTGAGTTTGATTGTCTGTTTTGAGCCGAGTTTCAAGTATGGATCACTGTAGAAATAGTTGTGATTCTGACCATGAGCCTTTAGGTACACTCTGGTTTGTTTCTACACCATGAGGTAGATTTTTATAGGAAACAGTCAATGTTGTTCTTGCCCCTACAAATATTTTTTGTCACAAGAGTTCAGTTTTTAAAGTGCACTGCCTACATATATTTATAAATAAATAAAAGATTATGACTAAGTTATATTATTTTAAACAAGTTGATAAACTTTTTGTATAGGATTCACTTTTCCTCACTAAAATAAAAAATATTGAATTGAATCTTTTTCTTTCCGGCCCCTAGGAGAATATGTTAAAGAGTTTTACTGCAAGGATTCCAGTGAATTTTGTTTATTGCCAACAAAGTGTGTTTAAACATGTCTCTGCAGTCAGTTGGTGACTGCAGACAAGTTTTCTCTGTAATACTGTCTTAGCTCTCATAAAAGAAAAAATGATACTTTTGTACCATGAAAAAAATGCTTTTGAGGTCAGGTTAATAATCAATTTTTTAGCCAGAATAAATAGACATCTTACCAAATCATTGAAACTTTGCAGCAAGTTTGA